CAGTTCAGATTTATCTATAAAAAAAATGAATATGTTGTTTAAAATAGTGGTTCATTCATTATATTTTAATATAGATATAAAAACAGTGGTGTGAGGGTTTCAGTGTAACAGTAGTGCAATTTCAGTATTTTCTTTTAAGATTAAGAATTGTATTTATCACTGCATTTATTTTTTGTGCAGAAGGTTGAGGTGAGGAAGAGATTGAGTCACTGTTATCGTGTTTTGTTCAGGTCCTTTCATCATCTGTTTGTTCATATTTTTGAAAATTGAAAATATATCACACAGTAATCTTGAAATATTTTTGTAATTTTTAAATTTGGCATATTCCGAGTAATTTTATAATGAAGCGTTATCCGGAGATACTTGCAATTCATATATGGTACTGGCTAATGATTTACCCGTAAGATACATGATTTGTGGATAAGGGTGGTTGGGAGTGTATCCGTTTTATCATTCAAGTAAGCACTGGTCTTCCATCTATTTTTATAAGAGAGTGTATCCGTTTTATCATTCAAGTAAGCACTGGTCTTCCATCTATTTTTATAAGATGATAGTTTACTCACAAGAGAGATCTGCAGTTAACGATTTTATGGATACCATCACATTGCATTTTCTATTGTTTTCTTTATTACCAGTTTATTGATAGAGAAATTCAATGGGATGAACTACATAATAATGTTGCACTCAAATGCTGATTTGAGTTGCTGACATGGGCAATTCAGGTTCCTGTAAATCGTATAATTTTTTTTTCGTGAACTGCTACTATAGGCACTTGTCTTCGTAGTGTTGCTTCAGTATCAAAGTTGCGATCGTTACGATCTTTGTCATTATAAATTTCATTGCTTAAAAGGACTTTCGGAAATTTTGAGGCTAATTAATAAACGGGAGGAATAACCAGTGTGGTAGTCACTGATCTTAAAAAATGTTTCCAGACTGCTTTCTGACGATCCTGAAGGTCTGTAGGGGAAGTTGGTGCTTGTTGGGAATGGAAAATTATATGGTGAAAAATTGAAGAGCAGAATTGGGAGTGTTTTTTGGCTCTCTATTTTCGCCTCTTTTCATATAATCTGCAAAGTGCTATCTTTTGAAGTGAACATTAGTCAGGATGGTGTGTTGGTCCGGCAAATCTGTTAAAATTCTCAAGTCACACATTCCTCGACATCTTATTTTCTCCAAGTTAAGTTGGGTCAGATATATTTTTGTTTAATTTTAGAGATTGATCGATGCAACATAATTCATAATTGTAACTGCTTGGGGTTAATTTGTTCTAACTTTTATTTTTAGAGCGAAAATCTGATTACTGAGTTGAATCCAAATTGTTTATTCTACGACGTTACAGATTTGAGTATTGGTCGTACAATTGTTATATGTGGGAAAGAGCTGCAACATCTTTTTGGCGTTTCGGTAAAAGATTCAAGAATTCTGGGAAGGGAATTGATAGGAAAAATCGCAAAAATGAAGGAGGCACTGAAACTACACAGCACATAGAAAATAAATCAGCAGAAGGCACCGCGCTTCGGGTTACTTTTTTATCATTAAATGAAATGTTTAGCAGAGATATCATTTTGTTTTCTTGTATTTCGTTTTAAATGCTACTGATTATTAAGTTGGAATTTCAATAAACCTTTTTATAATCGATTGTTAATCATTGGGTTTTGAAATTCTAGTGCGGTGGGACAATGAAAAAGTCTACAAGATTCGTTTTTTCAAGATAGTCATATTTAGGGGATTTAATTTAAATGCAGAATTTCTATTTCTAAATCGAAAGATTTATTCTCTAGTATTTTCCGAATTTTTATTTATAAATGTGATCAACTAAAATTTCTCTTATTGAACACTGAATTTTTGTTTTTTATTGGTTTTTGGTGTTTTTCCCAAGTATTTTTATTTTTATAAATTTTATGTTGTTTCTAGTATTATTGATTTATCCAAGAAGGAACGACTGCAGTGAAAGCAGTCCGATATACAACATGCAATGAACAGTGTAAAATTCATCGTTTAACAATATTTTCATCCATCTTTTTAATCTATTGCTACAATTTATCTTGCAGTCTCAGTCGTTTACATCGAGTTTATCCTCTGCAACGCATGTTTCATATCTCTCATCGATTCTTTCTTCACTGTGGCCTTCTGATGGGACGAGGGAAGTAGAAAAAGTTGACATGAAGTAGGTTTGCAAATGTGTTTTTAATATAAACGTAATATATGATTTGAGTAAATACTGTTTGTGTTCATTTTAATGTTCATTAGAATCAAAGCATTTTGCAAACAAAAGGGTGATGATTGTGGATTTTTTTACTTTTAAATTTAATCTTTAGATTGATTTAGATCAGGGTTTTATATTAATAGAAAGTTAATCTCGCTGTCAAAAATAGCTAAAAGTACATTATTCTATTAATTGAATTAAAAAACGGGAGATCATTGCAACAGTAATACTTTCAAATATCATCATACTTTAACAGCTAGCATAATCACGTGATGGGTTGACCAAAATAGCTTAAAACTGGGACCATAAATTTGATGACCTTGTTCAGTGTACAATCACGTCACAGCCAGAAAAATGTTCCCGACGACAATCATGTATTATTGGGAAGTACGCTTCGAGTGAAAGCATGTGAATTTTGGCTCTCTTGAATTTTTTACTTTTACTGACAAAAATGTTTGGATTTTTTTCTGTTTTTGAGTTACTCCTGAATTAGTGTTACAGAACACAGCGTATAAAAACAGTTAGTATATCGAAATCGGCACTTTTCGACCAGACGAGATTACTTGTGTCAAGCTTACTTTACGCCGAAACAGATGGCTCTGTGATGTTGAGAACACGAGAATTGTGTAAACATTATATGGAATATCCTGAGGCCCGCGCTGCTGGGTTCCAGGTTTTATTAGGAAATTATTTATAAATACAAAAATGCTTTAGAGTAACAAATCCTGTTGTAAAATGGTTTAGCGTAATAAGTGCCATTTTTTAATCTTCGCTGGTGAATAAAATATCGAGATAGATATATGGCTTAAGGCAACAGTTATCTTGTGGGATTAGCGTATGCGAAGAAAGAAATCACTTATTTATTTAGTTACATGATGCTATTATCAAGAAGTTGAAACTTCTTCTGCCACGCACTAATGATGAAACGCTAAAAGAACACATTCGGCAGTTTTTGCATCTCGTGGGTGATGTTAGCATTCCGCGTGGGAATGGTATTCGAGTGTTGTCACTTGATGGCGGTGGTACGCGAGGTGTATTAGGCCTTGATGTTTTACAAGCGTTGGAAAATAATTTGAAGGGATCAAAGGCTAGCTTTTAAATTCTTCTAATTGAGATCTTTTGTTTCGGTTACTTTATCGATTATCTTCAGTTATAAGATGTAACGTGAAGTGATGCTAGAGGGATTATTTTATTTGCGCTCCTAGTGATTATGAAATATCTCTCTTCAGGTCGTCGAAGTGTTCGACTTGATCGTGGGCGTAAGTACTGGAGCTATTATTGGTACATTACTTGCTGCTAAGAGGTTACCAGTTGAGAAATGTAAGGAAGTATATATTGAGATCTCAAAGGAGCTTTTTAGCCAGGGCAAATTTTCGGGAATGAGCGGTCTTCTTCTTTCTCATGCCTACTACAATACTGAGAAGTGGAAGGAGATCCTGAAAAGTGTAAGCAAACGCAATATATATATATATATATATATACTTCTTAAATGTCATCGATTTCCTTTTATTTAGAAATTTTTTGTTGTTTGTTAAATATGTCATTTATTGTTTAGCATGCAAAGAAATTTGCCACCACACAGGAAATAATGTAAATTTATTGAAATATGAAATATTGTTGGATACTACATTTTTTGCATATAACTGAAATCGTCTAACATGGTTAATGAGGTGTGTGAGCAGTTCACATATTTATAAAGGAAAGTTGTTTGTTAAAGGTTATCGGCGAGGACACATTGCTAGAAATATGCGGACGCTGGGGAACTCCCATGCTCAGTATAGTATCGTGTACCGTGAATACGCCAACTCTGCAACCATATATTTTTCGTACTTATGGACATCCCAGTGGAAGTGAGAGCCATTACCGTGGAGGGTGTAATCATAAAGCTTGGGAGGCTCTGCAAGCTTCAGCTGCCGCTCCAGGTTATTTTCAGGAAGTTAGTATACTTATTGAATCATTTATTACGTGGAGAGATTTGTACTGTGATAGTGTGTTTTAATGTTATGATTATATTGGATACAAGCCACATGAACGTCCTTAGTTTATATTTCTTTTAATATTGGCTTTTGTTGCGGAATCTTACTGGATGTGACATATTTCTTGTATAAGGCAGATAGGTACCTTGAGACCAGTTAAAAATTTGCCCAACTGGCACAGCTTTCGGTGCTCTTTACTTGAGATTCCAGATTAACTTTTTGCAGGTTTCACTTGGGCCAATACTGTATCAAGACGGTGGCGTACTTACTAATAATCCCACAGCGCTAGCGGTTCATGAGGCACGCATGCTTTGGCCACATGAACGAATACAATGTGTTGTTTCTGTTGGCAATGGAAAAACCATTTCAGAAGTCGAAATGAATGACGTGAAGTTCGCTATAGATTATCGTTTAATCTGTCATTAGGATAATTATGCGGTACCCCACTTATACAAAAAATGTTGTTTGCATTACAATACTGATGCGGTATTTATGATCTCACCATCTAGGATTTATTGTAACATGTGCTAGGACAAATTGTCTGCCGAAAAAGCTTGCTTTAATAATTTCTGTTTGAGGCTGTCTACACGTCTTCAAGAAAAAATCTTACGGATTATTGATTCTGCGACGGACACTGAACTTGTCGACCTTTGCATGCGTGATACTTTATCAAAAGGATCATATATGCGTTTTAATCCCTACACCAGCTATCCATATTCTCTGGATGAAATCGATCCGAAGAAGTTCGTGATTAACGAAGAGGAGCCTCACTTGGACAAAAGAACATTTGCTTAAATTTAACACCTCACTACACCATTCTTTACATAAAAACAGCTGTAACCAGGTAATCATGCAAGATTTTCATATCATTTTTGCATTATTCAGATTGGAACAAATGAGTCAAGATGCACAACTGTATATTTCACGAAACCAGACAAAGTTTGAGGCTACAGCAAAGATTCTCTTGGCTAAACCATCACTGAAACAGCGCTTTATCCGAAACTGGAACAAGTTAATAATCCAGTGAAATGTGTGATGATTAATAAATAATTCTTAAACCCAGCACTGAGGTGTGAATGAAATCAAGTGTAAAATTGGAAGGATATATATAATAAGATCCCCCGGTATTAGTGATTATTTGCAGCTTACTTTTAACCATTAAGTTTGATCTTCTGCACAACTTATATGTCAACTGTCGTCAAATTATTTGGGCTATATGATTCATTTTTCAAACGTGGCAGTCCATGGGGCACACAGTGTAATGATAAAATTTTTGAAGCGTTCGCTGAAAGAGAATCCTGTCGCAAAAAATGATTTCACAGGGAATCCCATTCCTCGCTAACAGCTCGCACGAGAAAAACGCCACCAGCGAAAACTACCAAACCCTTACACATATTCCTGCAAGAATTTTGAAATTTTTGAAACAAGATTTCCAACTAAGATACATCCAGTTGGTGTAGAGAGCTATTCACAAGTCCCAAACTGATTCAAATGGAAAGGCAAACATTTCCGTCAAAACATATGATACATAAAAGCTGCATACGTAGTGCGTTGTTCTAACAATCAGAATTCATTTCCTACAATACAAATATGTCTTTTGTGGCCAGTTAGAGAAATGTTGAAATTCAAACACAATTACCAGTAAAATGGATTATGATAAATCCATGAAAAAGGTCCTCCTTCTGGTGATGGTGGAGTTGCTTGTATGCGGATCATTATGTACGTGTATATATATGCTCTGAAAGAGATGATACTGCCAGTATTACATAAAACTGGATAAATCCAACAATATACCATTTGACATAAGTGATATGGTTATTCATTAAAATCGAACAGGAAGAAGTATATATGATCAGCTATCTCTAACGTCTGTTGAGCTTACTATCAGTTCCCAGCAAGCAGTGATCATTTCGATACACCAAATCCTACGCGTGCGGGATAATTTCACGATCGCAACTACCAAAACTACCTCTAGGATCATTGCATATCTTCTTTAAGATGAATGATAAAGAGCTTCAACAGAGTGCGAAGCTTGCGGAAATATACCAAGTGTTTTATCAAAACTGCTCATAAAGAGTTTTATAACTTAAATTTATTAATTCATACGAAACAAAGATATATAAAACACTAATACTGTAAAAAATTTGCAAAAAAATCCACCTCTACGTTCTTCGAAGTCACATAATAACAAACATAAGAAGCAAATGCATGAAAGAAGTCGCAATAGAAAACACTCATTACTATCATTGGAATGAAGTGGTCAAAATGTAAAAAGGGAAACGTTTGAAATGAGAGGATGATAATAACAGAAAGATAGAAGTTAATAAGAAGTACAATGATTTCATAAAATATTTGGTCAAACAAAACGATATACAATTCAGAATAAAGTGAAGCGCGAAAAAAAGATCCAAAAGAAAACGAAAGCTATAACATCAGTTTAAAGTTGTTAAGGAATAAATTAATAGATGACCTTCCCTGGGAATTTGAAAGATTTTGCATCAAACGATAAGTTAAGGAGTGACTTTTAAAGAAATAGATACTAATTTGTAAATTATAAATCAACAATTATTACAATTATCTAAATAACAAACAGACATAATCGATATAAGATGCGAATATCCACGAACATGAAGGTATTAGGTATCCATGTCAGATTTGAGACTTATATTTCCTCCAGTTTTTAAATAATGTATCAAGACAAAAGCAGTACTTCAATTATACTATACAGCCATGAAATCTAAAAATATGAGTCAACTTAAAACCTCGCATGTAAGCAGAATGTGCGTTGATGATATATCACAGTAAATTTGATTTTAATTAATTTAATTGATTTTAATTAATTAAATTAAAATCACATAATACACTTAAAGAAGTAAGCTCTGACGTTGACTTGAGCGAGTATTGCGACAACTCGTACGATCTGATATTACTGAATCCTTGACCAATCGGACTCCAGGAACTGACATAACGGATTCGCAATCAGACAGCTCAAAAATTGCCCTCGGTAAACATTGTAAGAATGGATGCTGTAATGCATCCGCTGCTGACAATCGTTTCCGACCTTCGTACTGAAATATATAAACTATTTTTAAACTGGAAAGAGCACCCTAAAAATTTCATAGTTCAGGGCAAAAAAATATATTAAGAAAAAGGCCTTTTATAACACTATTATCGACTTAAGAGTGCACTCTGTACCTGGAGTAAACGATGCAAGAGATCATTTGCATGCTGATCAATTCTTGGACATGTAATCTGTAGACTGTTGGGACGATAATGGGGGAATCTACACAAGCGAAATGTAGCTGAGTTACACATCTGCGGGTGACTGGATAATGATGGAGTGCCGAGCATGTGGAATATCAAGAGAAGTTGCTCTTCAACGGCAGACCCCGGAAATAGTGCACAGCCTGTAAAGATTTATTTCATATCTGTAATAGCCTTTGTTCGAAAAGCTTTTACTCCAAAATATAAATTTTATCAAATGATAAATCTGAGCTCACATAAAATTGTATAGAAGAAAAAAAAAACAGAGACAAACCAGTAATCATTTCGAAAAGAATGCATCCCACACCCCACATATCGATGTGGGTTGAATAATCCGTAGAACCCAGCAAAACGTCAGGTGGACGATACCACAGTGTCACAACCTAAAATACTCACGAGATTCAAAGTATACACTTCTACACTGCATCAAAGTAAACGACACTTGAAACTCAAACAAAGAACACCGCCAAAGGATAACTGTTACGTGACTAATGTCTTGCAATGAGGTACCGCATATAAAAGGTAGAACATTTTGAATGGAAGAAAACTATCCAGAACACAGAAATCGGGAACCCGTTCTCACCACACAAAGACACAGATATTGAGAACGATGCGCTGAACATCGCAATCTTAATGGAACGCCAGATATTTTTCTACTGTCTTCAAGATTTAGAAAAACATACCTCGTTTGAATATGTTTTCGTAGGTATAGACTTCGCTCGTGCTAAACCAAAGTCAGCAAGTTTGAGTTCACCTTTTTCGTTAATAAGTAAATTTTGTGGCTTCAAATCCCGATGCAAAACTCGTCGCTGATGACAATAATTCAGTCCTCTCAATAACTGCACCAGAAACAACTGGAAATAGAACTGATTAAGAATAGTATAACGTTCGTACTATAGAGTATTAATTGACCCTGCTTACGTTGAGTAGCTCAAATTTCTCGACATAAAATCTTCATAGCAAAAATAAGAATGTACCCGAACATTCCTCATCGACATGACATCTTGGCAGTCATCAAGATACTGCTTTAGATCACGGTCAACGTATTCGAAGACAAGAGTGAGTATTCTTTCCGTGTGAATTATGTCATGCAATGTGACAATATTCGCATGGCGTAAATCCCTCAGTATAGAAACTTCCCTGATCGCTGTACAAGGTGCTCCTTCTTCCAGTTCTAAGCGTATTTCCTGCAAGGTGATTCCTAACGTCTACGGCATTTTCTGTTAAGAAGTGAAAATTTAAAGATTTTACTTGAAAAAATGGAAAGCAAACTAAGTAAAACCAATTAGTAACAAATGCTACCTTGAGAGCGACGAATTTTTCTGTCAATCGCGATCGTCCTTTATAAACTGTGGCATACGTCCCTTCTCCTAGCTTCTCCAATTTTTCATATGTTTCAAGTTTGCCGAAACCAATTTCACTCTAAAACAGCATAAAAAGGATGAACTCAAAGTGAAAAAAATTGACGAACCATTAATCATGTTGAAATAAGAACAATAATTGCAAAAATTCGATCTCTCTTCGAAATGAAAAAGAATTACAAAAAAATACCAGAGATGCACGACGACTTTTTCTCGTCAAGGGTTGATCCAATGTTGGTGTACGGTTCAATTTCTCGATCACACTTAACGGAAGCCTTAGGTCGGCAGGAAGTGATAAACGTTTCTGAATGTCCTGCTGTAATAAAACATACTGTTGTCAAGGACATATCTAACAATGACTTCAGTAAATGCAAAAGAGTCATTAAAAACGCAAACACACTAAGGATAAGTGAATGATAAGAACATATTTCATCATTTCTAGAGTTGTTTTGAAAAGGAGGAAAGAGAGTTACTTCTTAATGATTACTGTTTTGAAGGAAATGGCAATAGTATAATCCCCACAAGTGTAGAAGGTAATCTCCTCTATGTGAGGATGAAGTAATCTGATCCGTATGATTGCGAAATTGAATCCATGTACTGCACAATAAAGAAGAAAGTTTAGAGAAGCAAGGACAATCCCATTGTTGGTTCATTTTCTTTCAACTGGAAACAAGGCTGTGCGGGATTATGTTGCTTCTATATTTGGGAAGCGGGAAAGGGAGAAGAGAAGAAGGTGAAGAAAAAGAAAAGAAAAAGAAAAAAAAAGAAGAAGCTACTGCTCGATATTTCATCCTCCAATTCTGATTTCTCGCTTATATTTGATCCATCAACACTTATTGTTTTCCATTTATTGTTTTATATCCATCTGCTTTCTGCCATTTGTTTTAGTAGAAACTGTTCATAGCGTTATGGTTTACCTATGGCAAGTCGTTAGCTTCGAATAGTTACATCTAGTGACGCAACAATTATTTCATGTTAAAATCTGAATACCTCATTCCAACGACGGGTTGGTTTCTGACGCATTTTAACATTGATAACATGACGATCAGACTGATTTGCACATTGATCGCTGCTACAAGGCGAAACCTCAATGCTTTCACCATCAGAACCAAGCACTTTTGTTTCATCAACAACAGCTGCAAAAATACATAATTTAGCTGCATAGGGAGTGCGCTTAATGAATTTTTAACATAATTAAATTTATAATTCTTCATAACTTAAAACCTTAATATATGGCGTTTAAGTGCATCATTTACACCTAACAATTTTAAATCATCAGTCAACGTATGGAAGTTCAAATTTTATCTGATTTCTAATTACTCTAAAACTTTTAGTTCATATGTCGACTGATGATTTAGTCATCTCCATAATAAGCCTTTCTATAACTGACACAGTACATCTT